CACTCACACTCACACACACACTCACACTCACTCACACTCACACACTCACACACTCTCACACTCTCACACACTCTCCCACACTCACTCACTCACACTCACTCACACTCACTCACTCACACACTCTCACACACTCTCACTCTCACTCTCACTCACACTCTCACTCACACACACAGTCTGTCTGAACAGTGAACATACTCACATCTGTTGGCTCTCAGTCCCTCGAAGGACACGGGCTCCTCGTCATCATAATACTCATAATGCCATTCATAATCACCGCCAGACTGACTCTGGTTTGAATATTCACTCATGTTTCAGCTGAGTATTTCACGAGTTCATAAGCATCATGACGAGTGAGCAAATGGCGCTAAACACATCATTAGACCGAGACTCTGTTGAGAATGAAGTTGAGGAGCAGCCTGCAGCATCTTCATTGCATGCGCTCGCTTTGTGTCTCTCTTTCTGTTCATACAACACATAATTCATGAAATCACAAACACCCACCTTCAGAGGAGAGAGAGAGAGAGAGAGCGAGAGAGAGAGAGAGACAGAGAGAGAGAGAGAGAGAGAGAGAGCATAACGGTCATAATAACAAGAGAGAACAGAAGATCCTCTAACTTTTAAGGTTTTCTTTAATAAATTAATTAAAATTACAAAGACCGATAATTTATATATATAAAATAAAAATAAATAAATAAATAAATACATTCATTTACTTATGGTCCTAAATATTTAAAATATTCTAAAGTGCACAGTTTTATTGATTATATTATTTAAGAATGTTTAAAAGAAATTGCTATTTCATTTTTTCTAGTTTTTAAATATTTAAAAATAAATTTATATATTATTTATTTAATATAAAATATATATATTAATATATAATTACAATAATGTAATCTAATATATAATATTGATGGAGCTAAACAGAAATAGCTTATTCAGGACAGTACTAAATAAATATTTTTTGGGTTGGTTGGTTTTTAATTAAAAAAAATTCACATTTTCATTTATTTATTTTTCTTCTTATGTATGTTTTTTATGTGCGTTCTGGAAAAGATAAGAGGAACATGAAAGTGTTCTCCTGACCGTCCAGACCTTACAGATGGAGCAGATCCACACACAGCTCTTTGATCTGGGTTTAACACACATCTAATCTGCTGAAGTCCTCCGTCAAGCACTAATGGAGATATTTAGCAGATTATTCATGCTGCTCTTATCATGCAGTGAAAACAGTGAGCTGTGCAGCTCCCAAAAGGTCAAAAAACACCATATAAATGTGTCTTCTGAAGACATAAGTGAGGAAGGGACATGTATAGAGACAGTTCAAGGTGCATGAGCACAACATGAAACCAGCACAGCTTTCAGTGTTAGGAGTGTGTGTGTGTGTGTGTGTGTGTGTGTGAGTGTGAGTGTGCGTGTGTGTGTGTGTGTGTGTGTGTGTGTGTGAGTGTGAGAGTGTGTGTGTGAGTGTGTGTGTGTGTGTGTGAGTGTGAGTGTGCGTGTGTGTGTGTGTGTGTGTGTGTGTGTGTGAGTGTGAGAGTGTGTGTGTGAGTGTGTGTGTGTGTGTGTGAGTGTGAGTGTGCGTGTGTGTGTGTGTGTGTGTGTGTGTGTGTGAGTGTGAGAGTGTGTGTGTGAGTGTGTGTGTGTGTGTGTGAGTGTGAGTGTGCGTGTGTGTGTGTGTGTGTGTGTGTGTGTGTGAGTGTGAGAGTGTGTGTGTGAGTGTGTGTGTGTGTGTGTGAGTGTGAGTGTGCGTGTGTGTGTGTGTGTGTGTGTGTGTGTGTGAGTGTGAGAGTGTGTGTGTGAGTGTGTGTGTGTGTGTGTGAGTGTGAGTGTGCGTGTGTGTGTGTGTGTGTGTGTGTGTGTGTGAGTGTGAGAGTGTGTGTGTGAGTGTGTGTGTGTGTGTGTGAGTGTGAGTGTGCGTGTGTGTGTGTGTGTGTGTGTGTGTGTGTGAGTGTGAGAGTGTGTGTGTGAGTGTGTGTGTGTGTGTGTGAGTGTGAGTGTGCGTGTGTGTGTGTGTGTGTGTGTGTGTGTGTGAGTGTGAGAGTGTGTGTGTGAGTGTGTGTGTGTGTGTGTGAGTGTGAGTGTGCGTGTGTGTGTGTGTGTGTGTGTGTGTGTGTGAGTGTGAGAGTGTGTGTGTGAGTGTGTGTGTGTGTGTGTGAGTGTGAGTGTGCGTGTGTGTGTGTGTGTGTGTGTGTGTGTGTGAGTGTGAGAGTGTGTGTGTGAGTGTGTGTGTGTGTGTGTGAGTGTGAGTGTGCGTGTGTGTGTGTGTGTGTGTGTGTGTGTGTGAGTGTGAGAGTGTGTGTGTGAGTGTGTGTGTGTGTGTGTGAGTGTGAGTGTGCGTGTGTGTGTGTGTGTGTGTGTGTGTGTGTGAGTGTGAGAGTGTGTGTGTGAGTGTGTGTGTGTGTGTGTGAGTGTGAGTGTGCGTGTGTGTGTGTGTGTGTGTGTGTGTGTGTGAGTGTGAGAGTGTGTGTGTGAGTGTGTGTGTGTGTGTGTGAGTGTGAGTGTGCGTGTGTGTGTGTGTGTGTGTGTGTGTGTGTGAGTGTGAGAGTGTGTGTGTGAGTGTGTGTGTGTGTGTGTGAGTGTGAGTGTGCGTGTGTGTGTGTGTGTGTGTGTGTGTGTGTGAGTGTGAGAGTGTGTGTGTGAGTGTGTGTGTGTGTGTGTGAGTGTGAGTGTGCGTGTGTGTGTGTGTGTGTGTGTGTGTGTGTGAGTGTGAGAGTGTGTGTGTGAGTGTGTGTGTGTGTGTGTGAGTGTGAGTGTGCGTGTGTGTGTGTGTGTGTGTGTGTGTGTGTGAGTGTGAGAGTGTGTGTGTGAGTGTGTGTGTGTGTGTGTGAGTGTGAGTGTGCGTGTGTGTGTGTGTGTGTGTGTGTGTGTGTGAGTGTGAGAGTGTGTGTGTGAGTGTGTGTGTGTGTGTGTGAGTGTGAGTGTGCGTGTGTGTGTGTGTGTGTGTGTGTGTGTGTGAGTGTGAGAGTGTGTGTGTGAGTGTGTGTGTGTGTGTGTGAGTGTGAGTGTGCGTGTGTGTGTGTGTGTGTGTGTGTGTGTGTGAGTGTGAGAGTGTGTGTGTGAGTGTGTGTGTGTGTGTGTGAGTGTGAGTGTGCGTGTGTGTGTGTGTGTGTGTGTGTGTGTGTGAGTGTGAGAGTGTGTGTGTGAGTGTGTGTGTGTGTGTGTGAGTGTGAGTGTGCGTGTGTGTGTGTGTGTGTGTGTGTGTGTGTGAGTGTGAGAGTGTGTGTGTGAGTGTGTGTGTGTGTGTGTGAGTGTGAGTGTGCGTGTGTGTGTGTGTGTGTGTGTGTGTGTGTGAGTGTGAGAGTGTGTGTGTGAGTGTGTGTGTGTGTGTGTGAGTGTGAGTGTGCGTGTGTGTGTGTGTGTGTGTGTGTGTGTGTGAGTGTGAGAGTGTGTGTGTGAGTGTGTGTGTGTGTGTGTGAGTGTGAGTGTGCGTGTGTGTGTGTGTGTGTGTGTGTGTGTGTGAGTGTGAGAGTGTGTGTGTGAGTGTGTGTGTGTGTGTGTGAGTGTGAGTGTGCGTGTGTGTGTGTGTGTGTGTGTGTGTGTGTGAGTGTGAGAGTGTGTGTGTGAGTGTGTGTGTGTGTGTGTGAGTGTGTGTGTTTGTGTGAGTGTGTGAGAAGTTTCAGAAAGAACATTCCATACTCGATGTAGCCTATAAATAATGTTTTTGTGCTAATGCTTTGAGAACATTATTAAACACCAGATAACTCGGAACAAACATTCTATTAACATTACTGGAAGAACGTTTGTTCATAACTTCCGTTAGCCAGATGTAAATGTTCTAATACATTTCCTCTCATCATCTGACCTCCACCGTCTCTGCAAACACATTTCTGATTGATGCTGACTCCTTATGAAATGTTGTGAATGCGTTAATTCGCTGACTGTAAATGTTTCAAAATATTTATGGCACTAAAATATACACTGATGCTCTGTTCCCATCAACATTCTGTCCTTTAGATTAAAAGATTCCACACATATTTCAGTCTATGAGTGTCCTCTAGTGGACGAGAAGTATATTTATTTATACATTTATTTATTTACTTGATGAGTGAATATGTGACGAATTATAGCAAACTAAAAATGTAAAAATAAGTATTTTTCTGCCTGCATTTTAAACGAATAACCAGGCCGACTTAACGTATAAATATTGGCGAATCTTCGTTTGTTAAAAAGTCAATTACTTCTTTAAACCACAATGAAAAAAATGCTAACTTAATTAGATAACATCTCAACTAAATGGCTTTATTCCGGTCAAAAATGTGTCCCTGCAGCACAAAAGCAGTGTTAAGTCGCTGGGGTATATTTGTAGCAATAGCCAACAATACATTGTATGGGTCAAAATTATACATTTTTCTTTTATGCCAAAAATCATTAGGATATTAAGTAAAGATCATGTTCCATGAAGATATTTTGTAAATTTCCTACCGTAAATATATCAAAACTTAATTTTTGATTAGTAATATGCATTGCTAAGAACTTCATTTGAACAACTTTAAAGATGATTTTCTCAATATTTAGATTTTTTTGCACCCTCAGATTCCAGATTTTCAAATATTGTCCTATCCTAACAAACCATACATCAATGGAAAGATTATTTATCCAGCTTTCAGATTTAAGAATATTGACCCTTATGACTGGTTTTGTGCTCCAGAAGCCTATTTGTGGTCCAATAACATTTAACACATTTTTTCCCGAATTAACCCATAAATGAATGATTTAGTGTTTACAAACGAATTAATTTACGGGTTAATTCAGGAAGACATGTATTTTTAAGGTAATAATCGCTGTTGTTAACAGTGCAGGTGAAACCGATCTAACTATGTCGCTTCTGTTATCTTTTAGCTTAAACGTTTAGTTTTCTCTCCTCACAGAAGCGTTTGTGGTCGTTTAAAGCTGATATCTGCAGTGCAATGTCGCACAGTAAATTATTTTAAAAACGTTTTGGAAACGATTTTTCTTGGTTATGCAAATGTTAATGGAACGTTAACATTTTTATTATCTTGCAAGCATTATGGGAATATTACTTTTTAATGTTCTCTGAAACAACGTTAGATGAACGTCCGACTAAAACATTTCAGGAAAAAAAAACGATGCATAAATAATGTTTTTGAGAACGTCATCAAAAGAACGAATGTTCTTTTAAAGCAGCACTATGTCACTTTTTCTGTGTTCAAAATTTGCAAAATGTATATAATGAGCGAGTACATCATGAATTAATCTTCCAAACCGCGTTTTGTCTTATTCCGAATCACTACGGTACACTTATAATAAGTACTTATATTCGGACTATTGTAGGCTGGTCACCGCTGCGGAGTAACACATACCTGCGTGAATCGCCAGAGACATAAACTTAGAGAAGTAGATCCGGTTGGAATGTTCTTCCGCGGGATGTGTGCAGTTCTGTTTATTAACCGCTAGAGCGTTACATAGTGC